ATGCGATTGGCTCAACGAACGTGTTGCGCAAAACTCAGGAACTACACCACCGCTACCATCATCTTCGCTTGGTGGCCTCAAACCAGTGGGATCGGAGAGCGTGCCAGAGAAAGCCTTGCAAGACGTCACCGCCAGTTTTCTGTCCAGCGAGCAGCAAGAGGTGAGTGTACCACTTCCGGGTTCCACTGTTTGTCTTCACAAAGGCAGTGTGCATTGGATGTCAAATCGTGGCCGACAATGTCCCGAAACAGTGGCTATTTTTCTGGGCAAGGAAGCCTGGAATGGGAAATTCCACTGTACCAATATGGTCCATTCAGATTCAACGACCATTGCATCTTTGTTGGAGACTGAGGCATTGAAGAAATACTGCAAGATTCACAAAGTTGTACCATGCGGAGCATTTACAACTTCCAAAGGAGATGCAAGCGCAGACAAGGCCATGGAGGTCTTGAAACCTTTGGGCGGAAACTTCAACACTCCTTTTCTTCTCCAAGTTGATTTGCAGGAGCATGTTCCAAAGAAAGGCTTGATTTTCTGGGAGCTGGTTCCAGATGAAAATTCTTGCAAGCAGGTGTCCATTCAGTTCGTTACTATGCCCCATGATTTCACGAAGCGCTTTACTTACAATGCGTGCGATGTTGAGAATCTTGGAGTCTCCGAGCTGCAGCGTGCAATCGACAAGATAGTGTCGGCAGTGCTGTCAAGCACCCTTAGCCGCCACAAGAAATCATCAAGTTTTGGCAGCAAAGCTATCTTCACCATGATTCAAGTGCCTCCAGATGGCTATCGTGGCTGGCATTGTTTGAATGCAGCCCGGAATCTGCAGCAATATTTGAAAGTTCCAAGGCAGAAGAGTGGGTTTGCCGTCAACCGTCAAGTCCTTGACCAGGAAGCCTCAAGTGCAAAAAAGCTGCATTCAGAAACTTGCCAGAAGGCTTTCTATGAGGGGCGTGATTCAGAGAGGGCATCCATTCTTCAGGTGCTGAGCAACCCAGCCTTCGATCCTGCTGCTTTGGAATGGGTTTCCAGATCGTGCGGAATGTCGATTCGCTGTACATGCTGTCCTGAGGCCCGTTTTACTTTGGCATGTTCTATGTTTATTGTGTGATAGTTAATCCTCTCCACATGTACTTCTTTGCTATGTTCATATCTTTGCATTATATATATATATATGTGTAGTTAATCCGTTTAATCTCATTGTTGCGCTCGAGCATGTCTGACTATGCATACAAAACGAATATATGTATATATATATATACACACACCGTTTATAAACCCAGAATGGAAGATATCCTTCTCTTCAAAGCTCCTGCAGGTTGGAACATGCGATGACCAATTTCTGGACACGGTCTATGGTGATGGGGTTCCAGATGTTCATTTATATTTTCTTTTCCTCAAAGACCAGGAGGGACATGGAGTTGGACACTACTGTTTGCTTCACTTGCGGACTTCGGGTTTCAAGCCCAGTTCAACGGATATGGAGCTCTATGAAGAAGTTCCTTGCCGGCCTTAAACGCATAACATAGAACATGTGGTATTCAAATTCCCCTTTCCATGCTGCTGTGAGCCGTGTGGGCCTAACACCTTGGCGTGTTTGCTGAACTCTGAAAAGATCATTTTGATAAAATGAGCTTGGAACCTAGGTTTTGGAGGTTGTTGCATCACATCAATTCACTGGTGAAACCATGTTTATTAAGACCAGACTGGTATATGTATATACACATGCAATTAGGTGGACAATGCAAATATATATATATATATGTATATATTGGTTTTCCTGATTTCCCGTGAGTCGCTGTCATTTGAGGTCCCTTCAGATCATTGCCAGCAGTCCCGAAGTATCCTGCTATAGTGGCAATTGCTTTCGAGTAATCCCGAGAGGGCAAGGATGCTTCATCCCAAGCCATTCTTGGTCCTTCAGCATCAGTGCAAGAGAAGCCCACTTCACTGGAGCATGAAGGGGGAACACTACAAGACCCACCAGCAACGAATTCATTCAACGTAGAACCTCTTGGAAAAAAAAGGAGGCATTGGACGCACCGCAGGCAGCTGAAGCTGAGATCTTAGAACATGGACAGCATAGCAACGGCAGCGCAGAAGTGTCAGCAACCCAGACTGCAGACACCACAGAACTGCCAGAAGCACTGGAAGC